TTTCCTCCCACGAAAGCAACTGTACCATGTTGGCCGCACTCAACTCATGCCCCTCATCTGGAGCAACATCGTCCTCAACGGTGTTCACTCAAGCGTCCAGAAGCCCCTGCAAGTCACATCGCACAAGCTCAAACTGAAAACGCTAAGGCAGCTGCTCACTCCACGTCCCTCGAGACCAGACGCCCTCCAATGGTGGATCAACAAAGTTGGCTACGTGCCCTTCGAATCACTGGCCAACTCCATCAGAACCAGTCTAGTCACATCCAAGCAAGCCTCCCTGCTCTGGCGCATTGCACACCGCACCAACCGACTGGGCGCCGACTGGCTGGAAACAGATGGTCAAGCCCTGCGCGCCGGCTCGCTCTCCCGCGAAGAGTACGACGACAGAATTGCCACTGGGCGCTACGACTGCGCGCACTGCAAACACGACGGCCGCTCGGCCAAAGAGACCTGGCACCACATCCTTGTCCGCTGCCACACAGCCCAAGCGGTTTGGGAAACCGCGAACGCCATCTTCCAGCACGCTCACTCAAGTTCCCTCCCAATGTTCGACAAAGCCCTCCTGTTCGGTCCCTTCCCCACCACGCTTGCGCGTAAAAAGGAAATGCGAGCGCTTGCCACGATCCTGTACCACCTCGGACGCTGGGCGATCTGGCGCACCCGCTGCGAAGCAAAAATCAACAACACATTCACACCCAGCCACACCACCTTCATCAAACTCGTCCACTCCCGCGCCCTGCAGGACATTGTGCCGCGAGCCCCGCCTGCTGACTCTCCCACGTCGAAGATGTGGGGAAAGTGCATTGTCAGGTCAGAAGAGAAGACCACCATTTCACTTCTACCTCCGAAACCCGGTGAGCATGAGCAAACCGAGTCACCAAGCGGCGCCCGTATGACCAGGACGCCGGCACCAAACTTGCATCCGCAAGAATAAGTTAAACACGTTGCCCTTGTCACTTACTCTTTAGCCCTGATCATGATCTTCCTCTTTGTGGTTTTTGAGCTTTAGAAGCTTTTCCACCCTCGAATAAACGTAATACCAAGAAAAAAATGCATTCTTCGCACGACAAGACATCAACAAACAAACAAACAGTCAATCAATCAAAAAAAAATGAACATATAAACAAACAAACAACACATGCATTCAGTCACAGTGCAGCTACTTGTTCGTCCGCTTGCTGCGAGCCGGCTGCTTCTGGCTGCCACTGGCTTTCTTGGTTTTGGAGCCATCGGCCCCAAGCATCGTCGTGGCTGCCGCCTGCGCCGCCTTTTGCTCTTGGTCAGAGAGAGAGAGAGAGAGAGAGAGAGAGTCCGTCTACAATTGGAGGAGAGAGAGAGAGAGAGAGAGAGAGAGAGAGAGAGAGAGAGAGAGAGAGAGAGAGAGAGAGAGAGAGAGAGAGAGAGAGAGAGAGAGAGAGAGAGAGAGAGAGAGAGAGAGAGAGAGAGAGAGAGAGAGAGAGGCTCACACTCACCAAACATGGGCCACAACAGAGGAGGGAAATATTTGCGGAAGTTGCTTTGGTCGACGAAAAACACATTCTCGGCGAGGGATTCAGGGGCAATGGAAACCCGCCCATCTGCAAAAACACTCAAGGCCAGTTTGTACTTCGACTTGGCATCAGAAGCATCTGATTGGTCTTGATCTGCCGAATTAAGCGCCTTGGATGAATTTTCTACCAGCGTTGCCTGTTCGGTCTTGCTGTAGACCGTTGACTCGTACAGCTTCGCGTCGCCAGCTTGCACAACCTACAAAATCATCCCGGTAAGTACCACCCTCAGCATTCTGATCGCCAACGAACATCAAACATACTTGAAAGTCTTGATCAGGCAATTTCTGGAGCATGGATCCGCACGGCAAGTCAGCAACAAAGAAGTTCGTGCAACCAACATCCGAAACGTCAGATCTCACACAATGTTACCTCGTGAAACGTGTAAAAGTCAACCGCTGCATTGTTGATCATGCCGTGATACACTGTGCCGGGTAAACGGCAATTCGGCAAGAATGGACCCAACTTGCCACCACGATCGCACAGCTCGATGGAGCTGGGATCAGGCTTCGGGATCTCGAGATGAGCGATCGAAGAGTTGTCGGCGAATCGCGCTCCTTGGTGCAGCTGTTTAAGACGGATGACATCACTCCCGTACTCGAGTGCAAACGAGTACAAGCGAAGAGCAAGGGCGGCTGCACAGGCTGACTCAAGTGACAAGGAGTACTGCTCCCCTGGTACCGACTTGTCAAGCAACGTCTTCAGCGCTTTCCAGTGACGTGGGAGAGGTTGAGATGGGGCTTGCTGCGCATAGAGTCGCTCCAGCCGCGAAACCAACGCATAGCCAATGAGCATTGGAAGGACGAGCCGAGACTCGACGATGGTGCCAAGCGAGTTCGCCTCGACCAAGTTATGACCGGAATCATCTTTGACGACCGGATTGACGAGTACTGCACACCTCAACGCAGAAACCAAGGTGGATTCAATTTGCTGCATGTTGAGTGAGCTCACACGGTTCTCGAGGGCCGACCCGATCGCCTTGACGAACAGCTCAGCATCGCTTGCGTTGAGCGATTTGGAGTTGGACGACGCAACATAGGTCACAAAAGCATTTGTGGACAAAGTAGCGCAGATTGCCTCCAGGCTCCGGGCGTGACCGGACGCGTACATCAACACGCGTTGGAAAACAGCATCTTGAGTGATATCGAAGTCTTGCGGCCAAGATGTGGGTCGCTGAGTCTCCATGTAATACTTCACATAAGCCACCGACTGTCCGAAAGTCAAGCACGGAACTGGAAAGCGCGTAAGCGAATGCGACGAGCCGCGGATGAGCTCCTCCAGGGGCACGAAGGTCAAGCCGGCAAAAAGGGCTGTACAATGCCACGTTTGCGGTGAAATAGACCGGATTGAACAGGTGACCATGGCTTGGACGATGGACTGGAGAAAAGGACTGTCGATTTTGTTTGAGACAGGATGCCTCGGCTCTGGAGCGACACCCTCGTGGATCAGGGCTCTTTGAAACTCGTCCAGAATCAGCACAAACATCACTCGGGGCGGGTTGGCGGTAGTTAGAGCGGGCGAGCTGGAACTCGAGCTGGACGAGGACCCTGCAGCAGCGACCTGAAGTTGAACAAGATTGGGCGGGTACTGCATGGCATGCATCGCGATGATGCCTAAAACTTCCGACAGCGTGACTCTTCCAATTGCAGCGGCCACCTCTTGCACCTTAGGGAGGTTCCAAAAATTATCTTCGTTGATGTAAGAAAGCAGGACGCGGTACGCAATGCTCAGTCCAGCACCCAGTACACGATCCAAACTGCCAAAAGGGGTGGTGCTGTTGTAGGTCACGTAAATCGGGACAACTGTTGTGGCATGGCCGCTTGCTTGAGTCATTTGAACAGCGTGCCTGACATACTCGAGGGAGGCACGGGTTTTGCCGATTCCAGGAATACCAGCCACGATTCCCAGTGGAAACCTCTTGGGATTACCAGGAGGTTCGGTGAAAACTTGCTTGTAGTGGTCCTTCAACATAGAAAGAATGCCTTCATCCTGATACTGATTTTCATTCGGCAGCAGGATCGGCTAAGCAAGCAAACGCACACTGGTCAGTCAACGAAGCCGACACTTTCAATCTCAGCTCAAATTCATCTCAATACTGTGAAATTGCAAGGGGCGCGCTTGAGGACTCGAGCACGCATCAAAGCGTCAAAACGAGATTGGATGGGATCAGCACCTGAAATTTTGCCAGAAGGAGGTGAGTCGACTGCATTCGCACATTCACTCTGGGACCGTGTTGACTGACCGACAGGAAGAGCCGGCGCGGAGGCGAGGGAAGCTTCGAGATCAGCAACTTGGTTTGCCGAAAGTTCAGCTCGAGGTCGGGCAGCGGCTTCTGCCGGAGCTACTCCCAACACAGCACGATCAAAGCCAACAGGTAAGCACAAAACAGAACAGAACAGAACACACTCAATCACACACACACACACACACACACACACACACACACACACACACACACACACACACACACACACACACACACACACACACACACACACACACACACACACACACACACACACACACACACACACACACACACACACACACACACACACACACACACGACGACGACGTCGATGACGGTACGTCCCAACACCAAGCCAGTTGCATTCGATCGGCTTTTTTTCAAACACGACTCACCTGGACGGGCGGCTGCTGACTGAGCTTGTGCGAGCGCATCCTGAAGTCGTGCGATCTGTTCCTTACTCGTGATCTCGTTGATCATGGTCCTGAGCAATTTCGCTCCAACTTCCTCGAAATCCCGTACACCTTCTTGAGAAGTTGTCAGCTCCAGCCTCGCAAGAATATCTGCACCATTTTCTTGCGCCTCTTTGCTTGGACTGGCCTCAGCAGCATGCGCGCCATGCAATAGCTCCATGAGTTTGTTGCGTTGATCACGTGTGTTGGGCAAAGCTGCTGCGGGAGTCAAATCTGTGGTGACTCCAAGGCAAGCATTCAAAGCCTGCCAACGTTGCACCTGTCCAAACTGGATTGTACCCGTGTCAGTCCGGTCTTCTTCTATTTCTCTTCTAGAAGAAGAAAAAAGCTGCTTCACTCACCGAACTCATGTTGTCAATGTCCATCGGTGCTGCGGACGAACTTGCAGCAAGCGGTGGCGTTGTCTGCATATCAGTTGAAGCAGTCGCTTGAGGAGGGGATTGGGATGCATCGTCGTTCTCCTAGTTTTGAGAAAATAACAAAAGGGATGATGTGTTAGCTGGCGATATGATCGCGGTGTGGCAGTTCTACAACAAAGACTGTTCACGCTTCGCACAAGGAACGAAGCCGAGTGGACGAGGTCGACGAACAACACAAAAAATGGCGCGCAACTGCCAAGACGTCCATTGCGAGCAAGTTTGCTCCTCGCCGCTCTCACCACCACTCCCCGGCCCCACAGAATCAGTTCTTTCAAAGGAGTTTGTGTAGAAGACGAGAGGGAACACCGGGGAGGCCAGGACGACGACTCAAGAGCCACATCTGAAGCAACAAAAAGCAAAAAAAAAAAAAAAAAAAAAAAAAAAAAGCACGCTTGTTGCACAATGCTGCTGCCCACGCTCATGGGCCGAGTCGACAGGGCGGCGGCTCAGTCGCACGGCGCGAAGAAAGTGGTGAGAGTGTTCAAGCAGAGCGACGCCGAGGCAGTTGGGAGGAAGGCACGCGACAAAAAGCCAAGGGGGGGAAGGGAGAGCAAAAAAAAAATAAAAATTCAAACCCAATGACAGACAATGACAGAAAATGACAGGCAATGACAGGCAGGTCTCGGTCCACTTACGGTTCTGGGACGCTTGGATTGACGATCAAAAGAGTCCGATGCTGCACGCCTTGAAGGAGCCGAAGAAGAGGGCGCCGAAGCGGGCTTGGAACCGGCCGAACTCATCGTCAAAGTGATTTTTTTTTTATTTTCGACATCGTGTCGTTTATGGTGAGTTTGGTTCTTTTATGAAGCTTCATCATGGCAGAAGACGCTGTGTTGAGATGACATCTTGCTGATGGCTTCGCTTTTCTTTTGTTTTGCTTTCGGTTGTATTTCGTCGTGATTTTGGTTTTGACTTCAAAATGCAAGCTAAAATCGAGCTCCCAGGCTGCGCTCTGTGCTCTCCTACTTTCTCGATAAATCACGCAATGACCTCGCATCAATAACCATGGTGGTATTGGTGGGTTAGGGATTGAAAGGGGCGCCCAGTGCCGAACACGCTGAACTCAACAGCGGTCGCAACTTTGTCGTCTGTTGCGTTTGTGTGATGTTTATGGTCATGCATTTTAAAAGAAGGAAAATAAAGTCACCGAGCTTCTGTGGTACTCGGGTGCAACCAATCAAATAAATAGCAATGGAGGTTTTGCTGGGAAGCGGTCGAAATGGAGCTCGGCAGCGACTCACCGTGTGCAGTCGATCATCTACGTTTGTTAACAAACAGCTATCTTCAACATTCATGTCAGTCTGTATTTCACCTCACGACTACACGCACGACTACCAAGTTTTGAATCAGAATGGAGATTGTGATTGGACTTATCGTGACGGTCGTCTTCATTGCACTCGCCCTCGCGCTGCTCATGTTTGTCGCCAATCGGAAGCGTAAGGCAATTTGTCTTGTGCGGTTGATGTTGAGCCATTGTTTTGCCTCCCGTTTTGTGCGACTGCCGTCTCTAACGCGCGGCCAGAGCAGCAGCAGCAGCAGCAGCAGCAGCAGCAGAGGCGACGGGTTGCGCAGTGTGGCTGTGGCGGGTCTCTTTTCGTCGCCAGGCACCCGCGCGCGTATCGACGTGCGACTCTATGCATGTACTCACTCGTGTATTCATACATGTGCCCTGTTGCGCTCGTGTGTGCGCTTTGGTCGTGACAGAGTGGCACGGGTGGAAGGAGCTGCACCAACACCACGTCCTAGAGTCCCACCTCGTCAAGGCCCGATGGCTGCTCAGCTGGCGCGCATTCTGCTTTGTCTACTGCGTCGTCATTTGGATTTACACGTTGGCTGTATCGGGCAACAAGGGTGGATTCTTTAGCTTTTACACCATCTGGAACTACTCGATGCTCACCGTCTACTTTGGGGTAAAACACACACAATTGAAAGCCGACGCAGCTCAAACTGCTTGCAGTCACAGCTCCGTGTGTATGTTGATGCTTGCTTGTTCTGCATGATGTGACTGACTGACCTTTGGATTTTGCGCTGCAGAGTGCCACATTCTACACATTGTCGCACAGAAACGTGCACACTCCGACCCCTGTCGAACTGTTCTGGCGCCGTTCCATTTGGGTGCTGTTCGAAATCTGCTTGGTGATGGCAACACTCGTCGATGCTGTGACATGGGCTAGTAAGCCGGCTGGATCAGAGGCTTTGTGTATTTCATGTTGGGTGGAAGTTGAGCTGCTCGACTCAATCGCTTTGGTCCTTGGTAACATCACCCAGTTTTGTATCCACAGTCCGTCCGAGACGATAACACAGACCTCGTCCTGAACGTCAGCAGCTACCACATTCACGCCCTCAACTTTGTCTTCATTCTGGTTGACGGCATCATGAACAATTTCGTCTTTATGCCGTCCCATTCTCTGTTTGTGTGCCTCTGGGGGTTTGCCTACGCCATGTTTGCATGGGCGTACTATGCTGGTACTGGCGTGTAAGCGCTCCATTGGATTGCATTGTTTGTTTCATTGCTTCGCATTTGTTCGTCTGGCTTGTTGTAGTTGTTCGTTCGGCTTGCCTCCTGCTCGAAAGCTCACTGTGCTACTGTGCTGCTCTTTGTTGTGTGCCTCTCTATCTTGACGCTTAGCTGGAATTATTCCTTCTTGGACACGAGCAAATCCGTGGCACCCTTGTGGTATATTGGCTTGCTAATTGGCCATGCAGCGCTGTTCTTGCTATTCTGGCTCGTCGTTCGCAAACTCAAAGCCCCGCGACTAACTGTCTACGAGACCCCCAGCGATCTAACCATGCCGCTGACTGCAGAGAGGGAAGCGGAGTAAACCTTTCGAGTCATATTTGTACCTGTCTCCCGTCCGTTTTGTTTTTGTTCTCAGGTGTTGTTGCTCTACTAGTGTTGAATTTTCGTTGTGAGGTCTACAGCCAACATGTACTTTGTATGTATTGAGTTTGACAAACCATGTTCACCATTCAGAAGCAACAGGCAAAACAGAAATTAGCGTCGTCTGACAACAACATCAGAAGCGACACGACGTCAAAGCACCGTGTCGTCATCGTCGTCATCAGCATCACGATGACTGTAGCGCGATTGTGTCGGTTGTGGAAGAACGGCAGGGGTGGCCAGCACTGGCTGCGGAAGGGTCTCGTTCGACTCGAGCGCCGTGTTGCGCCAAGAGTCGGCTGTAGGCTGACCAGCATGTGCTGATGGTGGAGCAGATTGCACGCCAGCTGCCGAGACCACAGGCGGCCCTTGCTCCATGTCCATGTTGCCATGCAGCGGCGCTTGCGCTTGGGCTTGGGCTTGGGCTTGGGGCTCGGCTGGCTGATGGAGACTTGGTTTGGACGGAGCAGCCTGAGGGCGATTTGGGTCACTGCGGTGGTGCTGCGAGTGGTGCGGCGGTGCAGCGCGGGAATTGCGATCTCTTCCGCGGCGCATCTCGCTCAGCTTGTCGAGGTACCCAACAAAAATATCTTCTGTAATGTTGTCTCGAATGGAACGGATGACGCCTTGCACCGTCGAGCTGGCGTTCGGGTAGCTCTTGTCTGTCCGGGTCTTTAGGTACTCCCAGCCCCGCGCAGCAGTGTTGAAACGGCATTCAATAATGCGCCCGTTCAGCTCCTGATACATTTGGTCGTTCGGAAAGGAAATGCGACCCGCTTGCTCAATCGAGCCGTTCGCACCACCCATGTACAGCGTTCCGACGTATTCTGGCAGACATCCAACAGCCTGGGTCTTGGACGCCATCAGCAGGAAATCGACCGAGTTCAATTCCGGAGGCTTCCATTTCAACAGAGCGTGGCATCGTCCGTAAACGTACGGGCCTGGCGGCTGCAGCACCAATCCGTCCTTTTCGTGGCCTACCTCCATGGCCAAAACCTTGCGGACGTCCGAGAGCGGGTAGAAGGGCTTGACGCGGATGGACAATGGCTCGTCCGCGAATTCGTCCGGGTGTGCAGTTCGCCGCTGCTGCCGAGGTCCACAGATTTCAATCTCGGCAACCTGCAGACGCGACGTGAAGGGCAGCGTCTGGCCAAACTGCTGGCCTTGGAAGAGGACGACATCGAAAATCAGAAACCTTGCGCGTCGAACACCGTTAAACACATCCTGAACCAGCTCGCCGTCCAAAAGCGTGTCTTGTACTCGGCGATGAGGGTCTTTGCGCTGGGGAAAAATGAGGTGGTCAACCTCGATGACGTTATCGTCACGGTCGAGCAAAAAGGTGCTGTCGTTCATGATGAGCATCATGTACCGTGTCCCGTCCGCCTTCCAGCTCAAGCGATAGTCATCCTTGTCAAGAAAGTGAATGTTCTGGCTGTCCAGCGAGACAGGCTGCGATCCAGGAAACCCACGGCAGCCAGTCCATTGCGCCACCTTGCGTTTGATTTCCGACTCGACCTCGCCAGTAACCAGACGCGCGCTCGGGACGCCTTCGACCGTGACCTCCTCGGGCCGCGATCGCTTTCGCCGAGAATCCTCGTCACCGTCATCCGCGCGACGAACTACACCACGGGCCCCAGGTGCTTCCGCGATCAGCGCTTCGGCGTTGTCCCAGTTTGGCAGCTCTGGCACGGGAACGTTGGTTGCATCCACGCCGTACTTTTTGCAAAAATCGGCAATGTAATGGGCCTAGTCGGGGGGGGGGTTGTAGTGTGAAGACGATTTGGCGGAAGAGTGAGGGAAGGGCAAGAGATTCGCAACTCACAACAAAAAAAAAAAAAAAAAAAAAAAAACAAGCAGAAAAGCGCACCAAGCAAACAACCACAAACCTTGTAAATGCCAGGAGGACGTGCCTGCGCAAATTGCATGAGCGTGTACTCGGGATCGCAGCCCAACTCTTCGACCATGTAACTAGCAATCAGGAAGCCCGTACGATTGAAGCCATGCGTGCAATGGACGCCTGAGGGAGATTGTCATGACACGACACGAGCTATAGAGTTAGATAATTGCGACAATGGTTGACACACTGGCTCGCTTCGGGGGGTTGAAGCGAGCAAGTTGTGTGCTTTACCAATGTACTCGTCTGGACGTTGGGCCAGAAAGGCAGTGCATCGCTGTGCAAACTCGCGGTAATTGTCATCTGTCGGAGCAGAGCCGTGGCTACGTCGACGAAGGCACCGTTACGGGTTGAGTATTCTCGTTCGTGTTCACACAACACAGCAAACATTTCGACGACACAGCTCGCAACAAAACCCAAAATTTACCCTTCGCACGGCAGCTTAAAGTACTGCACTCCGCGAGACGTAAAGTCGTGCGAGCTGTAAAACCGCGATGTCTTTGTGAGGTCAATCACAAGTCCAATCCGCTGTGGTGGGGGGGGGGAGCAACAGGTTTTAGTAAAGTCAAGAAGGACGAAAACGTTTCGTCGGAGCAAAAACCCAGCCGTAGCCCGCATTTGACAGGCACTGCATGTGAGCAATTCGAAATAGCTTGTATTGTTTCTTTTGAGCATAACGATCCAGTACCTTGTCGCTGTCTGCGCTAGACAGGGCGTCGAGCGGATGAAACCTGCGATCGAGCGGCACTTGCGGATCAAACTCCTCGGAGAGGGGCACTTTGAACGGCACAAAGCGCGTGTCTGTGGGTTTACAGAATGTGTGTGTGTCAGATTGTGAGTGCGTTGACTCGAGCGTGTCTGAGTGTCTGAGAGTGTATTGTTGGTGATCGCGTTGGAACGGAGATTGCCGACGCGAATACAAGCGGCATCACCAACCGCCCAGTGCTAGTCGTTGGTGCGAGCGCGAGAATGAGCGGGCATCAGCGGCTGCGGGGACTGGAGCGGAGGCCGGTGGGGAGGGGATGGAAAGCAGAAAACGAGACGAGACAGCGACGACCACACAGAGGACGAGGACGACAGCAACGACCCGCTCCTGCGTCTCAACGCAAGGAGAGCAAGAAGAAGCGGGGAGATCGAGCAAAGTGAAAGCGGGGTGAGGGCGTAAGGAGAGCAGCGAAACGCACTCGGCACTGCTTGGCCTGAGCGCGGACAGTCAATCCAACGCTCTGGCAGCGCGGGTTGCTGCATCCAGGACTCGATGGGGAGAAGAAAAAGAAAAAAAAAGTATGGACTGAGACAACTATGCAGCAGAACGGCAAAGTGTGCAATCACTCCGCACAACGACGACGTGACTCGTCCAAAAACAACAAAGAGAACAAGAGTTTTTGCTTTTCTGGTTTGATTTTTTTTTCTTTTTTCTTGTTTGTATTGAGAAACAACCACAACATTAAAATCTAGATACATTCATTCACGAAACAACAGCGACGAGGCACAGAGACGGGTGGAAAGAGCCCCTTTCTTTACTTGAGGAAGAGCATGTCGGAATACTTGGGAAGAGTCCAGACTTCGTCAGGAACAAGGTGCTCGAGCTTATCGCTGTGCACGCGAGCCTCAGTGATGCATGGCTTGATAACATCGCGGAAGAAGCTGTTTCAACAAAGGCATCGTGGTGAGTTTTCACTGTTTTCGAGCAAAATCACAACAATCAACCCACCCATCCTCGACACAAAAACACATCATTCTACTCACATGGCGTGCTGCTCGGGGGACTCGTGGTGCTTGTGGCGCTCGGCAAGCTTCTCGGAGAGGTTCTTGGAGGCAAGGAGGGCGCCCTCGACGTGAAGGGTCACGTCACCGAGGCGGCGGGTCTGCTCCTCGAGCTTGGCGGCAGGGTTGAGCTCCTTGACGCTCTTGATGGAGGTGGCGAGTTGAGTCTGGTAGTTGACGCCCGAAGGGATGACGTGGGCGTTGATCAGGTTGAGGGCGCACTGAGCCTCAATGTTGATCGTGTTGCAATAGTGCTCAAAGTAGACATTCTTGCGGGACTTGATCTCGGAAGCAGAGAAGACACGGAGCGACTCGAAAAGTCGGATGCTCTTCTCGCTCTCAAACTGCGAGAGGGCGGCGACAGTCTCGCGAAGGTTGGGCAGGCCACGCTTCTCAGCCTCGACAACCCACTCCTGCGAGTAGCCGTTGCCGTTGAAAATGATGCGCTCGTGCTTGCGAAGGTTGTCGCGAACGACGCGGCGAATGGCCTTGGGGAGCTCAATGCCCTCGGCGGCAGTCTTTTCAATCTCGGTGGCAATGCTGCGGATGGCGTCGGCAACAATCGTGTTGAGGATGGTGACGGTGGCACCGACGTTCTGGGACGAGCCGACAGCGCGGAACTCAAACTTGTTGCCAGTGAAGGCAAAAGGAGAGGTGCGGTTGCGGTCGGTGCGGTCGCGCTTGAAAGGAGCGACAGTGCCGCCAATGTTGAGCTCGGAAACCATCTTGGAGAGGCTCGGGCGACCGTCGGCGCCACGGCCGCCGGCAGCGGAAGGCTCGGACTTGTCGTCGTAGGCAATGAGCTCGCGGACGAGCTCGTCAATCTCAGAGCCGAGGTAGATGGACATGATGGCCGGAGGAGCCTCGTTGGCGCCAAGACGGAAGTCGTTGCCGGGCGTGGCAATGGAGGCGCGGAGAATGTCGGCATGGGCGTCCACGGCGCGGATTACGGCGGCGAGGAAGACGTGGAAGGGCATGTTGTCGCGGGGGCTCTTGGAGGGCTCGAGGAGGTTGACGCCGTAGTCGGTGGCCATCGACCAGTTGTTGTGCTTGCCAGAGCCGTTGACGTAGGCGAAAGGCTTCTCGTGCAGCAGGCAGGTGAGGTTGTGGCGGGTGGCAACGTCGCGGAGGACCTCCATCATGATCATGTTGTGGTCGGCAGCGAGGTTGGAGTCCTCAAAGATGGGAGCCATCTCGTGCTGGCCGGGGGCGACCTCGTTGTGGCGGGTCTTGGTGGGGATGCCCATGAGCCACAGCTCCTGCTCAACCTCCTGGATGTAGGCCATCACGCGCGGGGGCATGGTGGCAAAGTAGTGGTCCTCCATCTCCTGACCCTTCGGGGGCTTGGCGCCAATGACGCTGCGGCCCGAGAACAAGAGATCGGGGCGAGCCAGGAAGAAGCCACGGTCAATGACAAAGAACTCTTGCTCGGCGCCAAGCGTCGTGTGCACAGAGCGGACCTTGTGGTCGCCAATAATCTTGAGCAGGCGCACAGCCTCGCGCGAGAGCGACTCGGACGAGCGGAGCAGCGGGGTCTTGACGTCGAGGGCCTCGCCAGTCCACGAGCAGAAGCAGGTGGGGATGAGCAGCTGCGGGAGCCCAAGAGAAAGAAAAAAATAAAAAGAAAAAAAATACGAAAATCAAAAGGGGGAAAAAGTGTGAGCGAACGTACAACTACAAGAACAAAAACTTGTCATCACAAAAAACAATGATTTGTTTTGGCTGTACCGTGAGGCCGTTCGTGTTCTTGACGAGGAAGGCGGGCGAGTTGGGGTCCCAGGTGGTGTAGCCGCGAGCCTCGTAGGTCGAGCGAATGCCGCCGTTGGGGAACGAAGAGGCATCGGGCTCGCCACGGATGAGCTCACCGCCAGAGAATTCCTGTGACAGAGTTGGTCAACGAGTTGGCAGCAGCAGCAGCGGGTGTGAGTGTGAGGACAAGTCCAAAAACAACGGCAACCAGAGCCCTTTTTGCACATCTTCTTCCTCTTCTTCTTCTTCTTCTTCCATCTTACAAGGATGGTCTTGCCTTCGTTGCCAGTGAAGGAGATGAACGAGTCGTCCTTGCGGGCAGTGGCAATGTGGATGGGCTGGAACCAGTGGGTAAAGTGGGTGGCGCCGCGCTCGACAGCCCAGTCCTTCATGGCGTTGGCAATCACGTCGGCGACGATCGGGGGCAGCTGGCGCGACTCGCGGACGCAGGTCTGGAACTCCTTGTAGACGCTCTTGGGGACGCGCTTCTTCATCTCGGCGTGTGTGAAGACATTGACGGCCCAGTTTTCCGACCACCAGTCGTGCCTGAATGAGTAGAGAAGGGGTGATTGAGTGAGTGAGACTGTTATGTTTCATGTGTTGATGGTGTACTCGCCGTCCATCCCCTTTCATGATATCCATAGTGATAGTAATAGTGTTGTATTGGTTTTTTTTTTTTCCCCCCTTCTTTTTTGTTATTTTGATATATTTGCACCTGTCAACTGAAACGACACAACAAAAAAAGTGTGTGCTTTTTTTTTTAACTTTCTTTTTTTTTTTTTTTTTTTTTTTTTTTGTTTGTTTTACCACCATTAAAAAACAGCCAGCCGATTTTTTAATCAATAAAACCGAGCGAGCAGCTGATGCGACTCAGAGCCGAGACGAGCCGAGTGGTCATCAAGAGAGAGAGGCAGAGTCAAGGGAGAGTCAAGAGAGAGAGAAGTAAAGAGAGATAGAGAATGATCAGACGAGCGAGCGAGCGAGGTAAAACGAAGCCCGACAGCAGTCACTCTCACTCTCAATGCGAAAAAGCCCAAAGACACAGAACGGGCAGAATGGACAGAATGGACAGAATGGATGGATGGCCACAGCACTCAAAAGTGGGTGGTTGGTGGTGGCTCAACAAAAACTACCACGCTACGGACTCTCTCTCTCGCTCTTCGCTTCACAATCAAGAAGCCAATGCATGCAAGCGCGATCAAACAACATGAAGTTTGCTCCTTGTGTTTGCTGCTTTTGGCATCGGATCGGAGGAGGAGCAAAAAACCAAAAAAAAAAAAAAAAAAAAAAACGGCTCTTTTTAAAAAAAACCGGACGAAAGACAAGGAATCACGTTAAAAAGAATAAAATAAAAAAGAATAAAAAGAATAAAATAAAAATCTGCAACCTCGTGGGCTGCGGCTTTTCTTCACACACACACACAGTTTGCTTTCGGTCGCCCAGCACGCCTCGCTGTCATTCTCACCAAGCAACCCACGACATTGAAAAAGAGCTCATCACTGAAATCCCCGTTCAAAAACGAAGCAAGCTCGTCATCAGAAATCGAAATCATGCGTTTCGGTTTTTTATTTTAATTCTTTTTTAATTCTTTTTATTTTATTTTATTATTTTAAAAGCCCTCAGTTTCAACCTCAGTCACGTCAAAAAAAGACGTCTTCCTACTTTGTGATGCTCTCTCTCTCTCTCTGTGCTTCCCCCGCCTTCTATTTTGCCCCTTCACTCATTGCAGCAACCGCCACAACAGCAACGAAAAAACCCACCCCTCCCCCGATTGCTCGCTTGAAGAGACCAAGCGAAAAGAAAAAAAAAGCGAAAGAAGCCAGCACACATCCAAGAGCGAATCGAACACACCACTTGCTGACTTACATGGAGGCGCTGGTGCCCTCGCTGCGCTGCTTGGCAGAGTGCTCGGACTCGACGGGCTGGCGCGAGAGGATGGCGTTCGTGACGGCACGGCGGGGGTTGGTGGAATGGGACGACATGGATGTTTGGATTCGGTTTAAAAAAAAAATGAACTGAACTCGATTCCAAACTGGGAAGTGGACGTCTTAACGGAAAGAAAAAAGAAAAGAAAATAAGGTGGGAAAAACACAAAATACACACAATGACGAATAAGTTTGCCATGTCACGGCTCGTGCTTGAGCTTGTTTGCGAGCGTGCAGAGTAAGCGTCGTAGATTGCGGGAAACGAAGGGATGCATTTACGTCGCGCAACAAAAGGAGGAACGCCCGATCGCTCGACGGCTAGTCGCTGCTTTGGAGGTGACTTGTTTGCGTAAAGCGTACACACTGTTCAATCTCACTCAGTGCGAGGTGAACAACCAGTTGCGTCATGTCCAGTGTGCGACGACGCAATGCTTCATCCAACCTCCCATTTCCCATGACATGGTCTCGAACACAAAACGGTCTCCGCCCCCACACATCAACAGGCAGTGTGTCTGACTTCCTACCAGGTACTACCACCTCCAACTCAATAACTCGCACGTGCTTTGAGAACTCGATCCTTGCTGTTGTTGTTGGTTTTCAGACGTGTTTATGCCAAAACGACAGGAACAGCCGACCCTTCCACCACACACCAACCACACACACACACACACACACACACACACACACACACACACACACACACACACACACACGCAACATCAACAAATCTAGCAACAACACGCACGACTGTTCACAAATCAGCGGGATACACGGGCTCGGCCGTGGGATAGCCCAGACAATCGCCCAAATCCTTGTAACCAAGCTTGTCGAGCACTTGCTCTGCAAGAAGCGTGGCGTTCAACGCCAGACCTTCACCGAGAGCCACGTCTGCGGGCGCAATCATGTTGAGGTAGCACGGATTGAGCGCGTCAATCGTGTACAAGGATGCAATCGCCCAATCGCGCCACCAGTACATCAGGCTGTGTGCAGTCCAGAGGTAGCCGTAGTGGTACACGGTCGGCCCTTGACGCCAGCCGGCGATACGGGGCACGGGGGCGCGGAAGGCGGCCTCGCGACGCTCAATGATTGGTGCGGTTTGGGTGATGAGGTCGCGGCCAACGGCAAGCATCGCCTTGCGGTGCTCGGGCGTGCTGCCAAACAGGTCCGCCCCTTCGTACAGCGCATAGATCTGCTGGGCACGGTTGGCGAGAATTTGCGCAACATCGGCAATTTCACGCACCAGCGCCGCACCATCGGCGGATGCCATTGGCACGAGCGCCTGGAAGCGCGTCGCGAGCACGCTAAAGCTCTGATTCATCGCAGCGAGCAAAGGGCGCACCTCAGAGTACTTTGGCGAGTGCTCGGGCAGCATCATCTCCTTCAGCAAGAGCCGCAGTGGCTGGGTCGTCAGCGCGTGCGGCGACAGCGAGCCGAGATCGGCCCACGTATCCCACCCCTCCAAATAGCCGATACCGTTGAGCTTGGTCACGTCAGCGGGTGTGGCCTGGCCCGGCACCTTGCCAAGCACGAGCAAATCGCGCTGGGCATTCATCAGATCCAGCACGGCATCGGCAAAGGCAGAGGAAAAGGTAGCATCGCCCAAGAACGCGCCAACGTAATCCTGAATCAGCACACGCATGGCCTCGGTATCATTGGCAATGTCCGTGCGCGGATTCCACGTTGCGCGCGCAGTCAGGACGTCCTGCATCCAGTACGCATACTCCCAGCCGCTGTCAAACACCATCTGGCCGTCAATGGAGCTGCCGGTTGCCTGCTGCCAGCCTGCAATGTGGCGCAGGTCGCGCAGACGCGCGAGGGCATAGTACGGCAGAAACAGCGGGACGTCAATGTCATAGTTGACCCAGTACGCCGTCTCTGGGTGGTAGACGACCTCGCGCACGTTCTTTTGGGCGTTCTTGAACATAAAGTCAAACATGTAGGTAAAGTTCTGGTTGCCGTACGTCGGGGCTGGGTCGTCAAACGCGTACATTTGCACCGTGTGCGGCATGATGCCCATGCGCGAGTCGGCGTAGATTGGCAAAAAGTTAAAGTTGAGCGGCAGCCCAGTGTCGGGATCGACATAGTCCTTGCAGATCTGGCCGGTCGAGCAGTGGCACTTGATGAGCACACGCATGCCATTCAGCTCCTCATCGGCGAAGCGCGCCGTTTCGTTCATCCACGCCAGCATGCTCGTGTCGTTGCCGTGCGTAAACTCGCTAAAGCCGCTTTCGGTGCTAATGAAGGAGAATCCGGCGGCCGACAGCCACCTGAGGTGGTACTGGATGGATGCGACCGCGGCAGCATCCGACGAAGTGTCGTTCACGAGCACCCAGGCATGCTGCTGACGCAGGGCAATCGGGACGTCGGCGCCCGGCACAAGACCAAACGACTTGCACGCCGCGATGAGCTTGGCAAGGCGCTGCTGGCGCTCTGTGCTGTAGACAAAGTCAATCCAGTCCTCGCCCCACAACAGCACCCACTCGACGCGGCTGAGGCGGTTGGCGACCGCCCATTCAACGTAGAGCTCCCACTGCGGGAACATGGAGTCCCACGTCTCGCTGTAGGTCGATCCGTTTCCAGCAGCCGTGATGTCGAGTCCATTGAGCAGGTCGGTCAGCTCGAGCGGGTGCATTGAGTGGACGTGGAATCCGCGCACCGGCCAGGCGGGACTCTCGGACTGCTTAAACCCGGCGATCGCGCTTGCATTGCGCAACACGGACGGGACGAGCGGTGCGAGCGGGTGCAGAAATCCAAATCCGAGCTGCTGCAGCGCGCCGTAGCATGCGTACA